ATATTCCTTTTTCTTTCACGATCATGTTCTCCTTGTTCACAATCGAAGTCCCGCCTGGATTTGCGTTTTCTCTCTCTCTCTGCTTGCCGCTTTTCTTTGGTGAGATTTCTTCGTCTTTGCCTTTCTTTTTCACGCCTCCAGAGTTTTTCCTCTTCCGAAAAAACTCTTTTACTTCTGTCCTTTCTTTTGGCTTCATTTTCCTGTGAGCTTTCTTTCGACATATCGATTTCGGAAAGGGGTTCCATCGTAAATAAAGTAAATATATATATAAATATAAACTTGAATAAAAAATTGTGTTGTTATCTTTCGGTATTTCTATACGTAATAACAGGTGTAAAAACGTTTTTTACAAAAGTTTAATAGCCGGATTTACCTTTATGTGTACCCGGATGTTGCAACGCGTCGACATTCCCGCCAAAAAAAAAGGTAATCTAACCAGCCAATCGGGATTCTTGTGTACACGGACGGACGTACGGACGGAAGTAACGTCAGCCAAGCCATGAAAAATCAACTCGATGGTTTACCATTTTTTCTTAAGTATGGTGCTCCGCTCGCGCTGGCTGAGCGGGAGCTCCGCTATAAACGACCTTCCAGAATCGAAGCTGTCTCGAATATGGTATAATCGCTGCTTTATATGCTGATGACACTAAGTTATACAAGAACATTACATCTGTTGAGGACTCTAAAAAACTTCAACAAACCCTATCCAACTTGGCAATCTGGAGCCGCGATAACAATATCAGGTTCAACGCTACCAAGTGCAAGGTGTTGTCAATAGTCCCCTTCACAGTTCCCTGCGCCATCTTGATAGGTAACCGTGCCTTTGCATCGAAGCGAGACGAACGGTGAGATTGTAATGATAGAGACATGTGAATAATTGTCCAAGGTGTTAAAAATGGTCTCTATCATTGCAAGCTCACCGTTCGTCTCGCTTTGATGCAAAGGCACGGTTACCTTTCAAGATGGCGCAGGGAACTGTGAAGGGGACTATTACACGCAAGAAAAATCCAGTCAATTATATTATCATCTCAACTCATCCAAGCCCCTCCGTGTCAAAGAAGAAAAATACCTTGGCATTATTGTCAAAGATAATCTTTCTTGGGACTCACATATTCACTTCATCATCGCCAAAGCCAACAAGATGTTAGGATTGCTAAAGAGAGCATGTCAAAGTTCGCAGAACCCTATATTTGTCCTTGGTAAAGTCCAAAGTTTCCTACGCTACAGTGGTTTGGTCGCCACGCCAGGTCATCTCCCCTCTATTTGTTTACATGTAACGTACCACAAAATCATGCAATATAAACAAAATTATCAAGTAACTAAGTGCTACAAAATATCAATGTTCCTTTAACTAATGTTCACATTTCAATGTTCCAGTTCCTGTGCTAGTTAGTCTCTATTGGTATCTTTGTGGGGGTTTGACTATTCTGCCACTGCGAGTGGTTGGAAAGTTTTCTAGAATATTTGAGTTTTTACTTGCACTCAGAGTTCCTTGGTCACTTGGTGCATGAACACTATCCCCGGGCAAATGATTGGGAACACTTTCATGTTCTTTAGGTTCTTCCCGTGTCTGTTGCCTTTCGTCCGGTAAGCTTGCAAGATGTCTTCTGTTTCTTCTTACTTGATCAGAACTTTGACAAGTCGCACATCATGCTCTTGTTGGGTACTACCATATACTAGAGTGTCATCAATCATGTTGACTGTCCCTTCTGCGTCGGAAAGAAATGAAGACATCCTCATTTGGAAATGCTCTGGGGCAATGGTATCTGGTGAAACCCACTATTTGCATCAAGTTTGCTGAAAACTTTGGCTCCTCCAAGCTGGGCCAGGGTTTCCTCCACAGATGGTAATATGTGTCGTTCACGTTTGACTGAGTCGTTTGAACGGGTCAAATCTACACAGATTCTAGCTTGCTCGTTCCTTTGGGGACGACTACAATGGGTGCACACCATTTTGTAGGACTTTCAACTTTAGAAATCACTCCAAGAGACTGTAATCTCTCAAGTTCCTTTTTCACCTTTGGTAGCAATGGCAAAGCTATTCTTCTAGCTGTATGAACAGCATAGGGCACTGCTCCGTCTTTCAGTTCGATGTGATACTCTGTATCCAACTTGCCAAGACCACTGAACAACTTGGGAAATTTCTTAACAACCTCTTCTTTTCTGTCCACTGTATCGACGAATGAAATTAAGCTTAACGATTCAATAACCGGCCTTCCCAGTAATGGACGTTTGAGATCACGGACAATGTAGATTTTCTGAATTGTGGACTTATCCTTGTGGGTAATCAGTGCTTCAAACATACCGCACACATTCAATTTCTGCTGACCAGGACCAGAAAGTCTTGCATTTGTCTTTTCCGATTTGCAGGCAGTTTTCTTGAAAACATGTTCTGGTACAACAGTGACATCTGCACCAGTATCTATTTTACAGTTGATTGAAACTCCCTGTAGCTTAATATCTACGTTCAAAGGGCAGTCTTCACTACTCAGCTCATCAATGTGTGCGAATCCTTGGAAGAAGTCCTGTTCCTCAGTCACCTCTCCTACTGTCTTGCAAACAGACTTTCTTTTTACATTTATGACAGGCTACATCCTTCGCTGGACACTGTTGACGAGGATGAGAAGGAGTTTTACCACATCTACTGCATTTTGACTCGGCTGGCTTCATTACTTTCTTTGTCTTTGCATACTTTTTCATTTTCTTGAAATTTTTCCTCTGGTTGACTTCAACATTCTGCTTCTCTCCTCCTGGCTGACTTATCTGCTGAGTTGCATTTCCTCTGATGACATTCTGTTGTTTCTTTACGGCTTCGTTCAACCTTGCCTGATCTGCAGCTTTCTCTAAGGTTAACTCTGCATTCAATTGTAGTTTTTCAGACAATTTGGCACGGATTAATTCTTCAGTAAGGGTACCATAGGAGCAATGTTGAGCCAAACTATGGAGGTCAGTGACGAATGAGTCGACGTTTTCATTGAACTCTCGGCTCTCTGAGGATAGGATTTAGTTTTTTTTTATGAAATGGTTTTTAAATTTTGGAACAACTGTCTTGTATACCTTCGCTTGATCTTCAGTTAAAGAGAAGGTGCTGAAAATATCATCTGCTCTCTCACCTAAGAAATAGATGAGCGCGTTGATCTAACTTGGACCATCCTTCTTGTCCAGTCCCGATGCGACTCGAAATCTGTCGAATCTTTTAAGCCACTTTGGCCAAAAATTTGGCTTTCCAAAGTCAAATTTTTCCGGTGGGGTAATTTGCCAACTTGTCATCGTTAAATCCCACTTGTACTGACACCATGTAGTGTTTTCCTAGACACCATGTAGTGTTTACACTAGGACGCCATATTTGATTCGGAAGCATGCTTTATTCCTGGAAGCGAGGCTACCACAGGAATCCCATTACATCACAGCGCGCTGAAGGCTAAAATCGAACGCGTCGAAAGGCGGGCAACTAGATGGATTCTGAAGACAAGATTAGGTGACACCACCTATAAAGAACGCCTGCAAGCTCTCTGTTTCCCTTGTGCTACGACAGGGAAGTCAAGGACTTAATATTCTTCTATAAAGCTCTTTATGGACATATTGACTTTAACATTTAGTGACCATGTCGTCTTTAGTAAGCCTAGTGGTATACGTAACTGTCTTAATCCTAGATTGATGCTCAAGGTTCCTTTCTGTAACTCTAATACTTTTCAGTCCTCATATTTTAATCGCATCGTTAAACTTTGGAATTCCATTTATAAATCTGGTATAACTACTTTCAACAACCATATTTCAGTACTTTACTCTTCTTTACTTGATTCTGTTTTTGATATTGACAGGTCTCGTACCTAATCTGCTTTTCGAGAATGTCCCTGTCATAGAGGTTAACCTCATAAAGTCCACTAGTTTTATCTTAATGAACTTATTTTTCCATTCTTATTTTTTTAATTTTTACGTAAAATGTTATATTTTTTGCATGTATTTTTACGTTTAATTATTTCAACATTTCATGGAGTGGACACTTCCCATGTGTCTCGTGTCCCGTTTGTGACTTTCCTTTCTGGGTAACTATTAGTTTTTTTCTACTCAACACGGACACTGGTGAAAAACGCACTGCGCACGCTCGGAGATGGCGTAGCGTAACTAAGGGCAACTTATATTTTTGATGCCGGTGTTTTGATTGTTTTACAAAATCGCAAAACTTAAGAAAAATACTGAAAACTTAAGGTTGTCCTTTTCGCAATAGCAAGATAATTTCGATTGTGATACACTAATGATTTATACAAAAAAAAAACCTTTGTTTATACAAAGCAAAAATAATCTTTGAAAATACCGTCACTCGCGGCCCGACGTCGACATCCAGCATGGCTAATTTTCAGATAATCACATGGTCGGATTCTATGTAAAGAAATCCAAATATATCTGTAAATTTCCAAAACGAATTTAAAAATAGCCCTGTCGGTTAAAATAAAACCTACCTTTAGATGTGATCAATTGTCAATGTCCGCCATTTAGTTTTTTCTCCCAACGCATGCGCAGTGCGTTTTTCACCAGTGTATTCAACACGTAATATTAGTTTTCCAATAAAGCTGTTAAAAAAATGACGAGTCCTTGGAAAAGAATCATTTTCGTTACGGATATGAAATATAACGGGGTTTAAATTAACAAATAGACATCATTTTTTTATGTGTCTGTCCTCTTATTGACGATAAATTGCGTCATCACATTGTCAAAGTAGTGTGGGTTCACTAGGCGTAGCCGACACATTAAAACTTCTCATTTTTAGCGATCAAAACAACCAACGGAAAGAGCGCGCGCTCGTTGACGTCAGCTTTAGCTGTCTGTCCTCTTATTGATGATAAAAAATAACCAATCAGCGCGCAAGAAATTTGTAAGTTATTGTAAAAAAATATCGTTGTTTAGTAACTACTAAATAGCCATGTGTAACCCTCTCTTTATAATTTTCTTTTACAGCGCAATGCTTTTGACGAATGGTCTTACAAAAAAGCAGCAACAATACTCACCTATTACAACTATCATCCTGTACCTGTTCCATTAAACATCATCTCTCTTACTTTTCTCCTGATGCGGTATTTATATAAGAAGATTCGTTGCAGAAGCTCCACCGTCAATATTGTCGAAGACCCTGAAAAGGTAGCGTTTCTTATGAATAACATGCATCATTATGGGTCGTTGCAAGTAGTATATGCCGCGCAAAACGGGCCGCGTTTTGGATGGGCAAATGATGGGCAAGATGGGCCAGTGATGGGCACCTTAAGGTGGCTAAAATCAGTAACGGAAAGTTCCGACCAGTAGCATTCAAAGCGCGCTAAAACAGACTTCCTGTCTTTGTAGCCATTGAATTTTTGAATATAAATTGGTCAATTGATTGAAGTTTAAAATATTGGGTGTGGCATGTCGATCGTCCTTATTATGCAAAAGTTATGTGGAATTCCCGAAAAACAGTTTTTCGGGTCGGTCTCAAAAAATCCCACATGGATTTTGTCCAAACTTAAGGATATTGTATTTTGAGTCATGTCCTTGCTGATGAGTAAGTTTCAAGGAATTATATCTTGCCGTTTTAGAATTATGAAGCCCCAAAGTTGGTTGTTGATTTTTCAAATTCAATTCCATATCACTCACAGAGAGAGATCTAAAACAAGATCTGTTCAATATTTCGCCCTGGAATTTCGCGTGAGAAATTTTGAATATGTTCTTTTTTATGGTGTTGAGTTTCGAGGCATTTGCTTATATCTATTTGAAACTGCAGTTCGGCAAATGTAGAGCATTTTCATGACAACATTCTCTGCACCTATAAGATTTTAGTTAATTCATATTCCTCGGGAACGCCTTCTTAGATTTTTGTAAGAATTACAGCACATGAGACACAATATATATACAACAAAATGCATTCGTTTTGTTTCGGATACTGAATTTTGAAGTGGCGAAAAAATAACGTCAAACACTACCCATATATCTCACCATTATCCATCTGTTGAGCTCAATGTATTCAAGTCTTTGCCTTTTCCTTTTGTGTCATTAACAATGCCCGTCGAAGCTATTTGAATAAACTTTACAAGTCATTGTTACTTTTGGTCACGCGAGCAGTGACTGTCCAAATGGGCATTTCCGTTGACTCCAATTATAAAAACCCTTTCGTCTTATTTTCAAACTGCACGTCTGAATTTTTCAAATATGAAACTTGTAATATAACATTTTTATGTGTTGGTTCTTTCTTTGTTGTCCTTTCTTACTAATCACACTACATGGTAGGGCTCATATTATTTGAAAATGTCAAAAATTACCAAAAATTATTTAAGTTCACGGCTAAAAAATCTGTCTAAAAAGAAAGACGTCGTCAACATCTCAGAAAAAGCAAGAGTTACATTAAAGACTAGTCCGAATTGAGTTCGTAATTACTTTGAATGGAAGGCTTTTGGAGCCACCAGAAATGCGCATTTGGACAATTCCTTGAAACTCACTCATCAGCAAGGGCATGACTCAAAATACAACATCCTTAAGTTTGGACAAAATCCATGTGGGATTTTTTGAGACCGACCCGAAAAACTGTTTTTCGGGAATTCCACATAACTTTTGCATAAGGAAGATCGACATGCCACACCCAATATTATAAACTTCAATCAATTGACCAATTTATATTTAAAAATCCAATGGCTACAAAGAGAGGAAGTCTGTTTTAGCGCGCTTTGAATGCTACTGGTCGGATCTTTCCGTTACTGATTATAGCCACCTTAATTATTCATCAAGCATAAAATAACGAGTAGGCATTGTTTGAGGCTTCCATGACGACCGAATGACGTCATGAGTTTATCGTTAGGCAAGCGTTTTGGGTGGGCTAGTGGTGGGCTAGTAGTGGGCAGGACGAGTCACATTCTACCAAATCACGGTGACGTCACTTCCGGTTAACATGAGATGCACACGTGCTGCCGTGGATGCTCAGAATTAGAATGGTGGGTCAGTTCCCTCCCTGCTGCAAGGAGAAACATTGTGCATGGTATCCCAACCATGATTCTTACGTCTGACGCATCTTCTGTGGGCTGGGGTGCTTGGACTTCCCAAAGTCAAACCCAAGGTCTATGGTCCCAAGTGGAGAGGAAATATCATATCAATGTCCTGGAGATGCTCGCAGTTAAACTGAATCAGTATCCAACCAACACATTAGGATCTTATCTGACAATACTACCACAGTGTCCTATATTAATGCTATGGGAGGTTGTAAGAGTAAGGAATGCACTCAGATTGCTAAGGACATTTGGTTATGGGCCATCAGTCGGCACCTCTGGCTCTCAGCGGCTTATCAGCCGGGGCAGCTGAATGCTATTGCAGACTCACTGTCGCGCCATTTTGAGGATGGGATAGAATGGCAGCTGAATCCTATTCTATTTGACAGAATCTGTGGGTTGTATGGGGTCCCTGAGATYGATCTGTTTGCCAGTCGAATCAACCATCAAACGAATACCTATGTTTCTTGGAAACAAGATCCCTGTGCAACCTATGTAGATGCTTTCACTGTGAATTGGTCCCAGTTCACTACCAGTTATATGTTTCCACCATTCTGTTTAATCAGTAGATGTCTCCAAAAAATATTTTTGGAAAAAGCAACAGTGACCATCATAGTACCTCTGTGGACCACACAAGCTTGGTTTACAAGGCTTCTAAGTCTCCTGATCCATCRGCCCAGAATGTTCCTTGTCACCAGGAAAGTGCTTTGCCATCCAGTTCATGGAGATGTTCATCCGCTGAGCCGCAAACTGCAACTCATGGCATGCAAGGTATCAGGCAACAGTTCATTGAATGCAGCATTTCTGAGGACATTACCAATGTCCTCATGTCCTCATGGAGACCAAGTACACAGAAGCAATATGATGTTCACATCAGGAGGTGGGGTGAATTTTGTCTACAGAGGAAAGTTGATTCATTGCGCCCAAATATCAATGACGTGTTAGAGTTTCTGCACAGTTTACACATCAAAGAGCTATCCTATTCCACAATTAATACAGCACGTTCGGCTTTGTCGAACTATTTAATGGGTTTTGAATTTCCTGGTACTCACTACACAATTACTGATCACCCCTTTGTTGTACGCTATTTGAAGGGAGTGTTTAATTTTGTCAAACCTACTCCTCGTTATCAGGAGAYTTGGGATGTCAACCCAGTACTGAAATACATAGAGCTATTGTCGCCGTTGGAGAAACTTTCATTAAAGGAACTCACATTCAAACTAGTTATTTTGCTAGCACTCACATCTGGACAAAGATGTCAGACATTATCATTTCTCGATATTGATGATATGAAAGAGAATGCAGATTATTATTAGTTCTACATACGGGATCATGTCAAGCAAGACAGACCGGGAAAGATTTTTGCATCGTTTATTGTTAAGAAGTACATTAAACAGGAACTCTGTGTTTATTCCACTCTTCGACACTATCTTGAAGTGACAAAGAGTGTACGTAATGAAGGCAATTCACGACTGCTCATATCCTACGTGAAGCCTTATCGACCAGTTAGTACTAGTACTATAGGTCGATGGATTAAAACTGTCCTCCAAGCAAGTGGTGTTGATACAACAAAGTTCAAGGCTCACAGCACCAGAGCAGCTGCTACATCCAAAGCAAGCCAGATGATTCCGACTGATGAAATATTGAAGCACATAGGATGGTCTCAAGTTTCAACTTTCCAGACATTCTA